GGAGAGAGATAACCCGCATTGAAACATTCACAGTCCAATGGAAAAATTAAGTGAACCTTGGATTTAAACAACGGTTAAACCTCCTTTTTAAGCACCAATAACCTCAAACGAGCTCTTTCCTGTAGCTGCTGATCAGACATGCTCAATGTTCAGGCGGAAGTTTCGACCATTCTTCTTTTTTAAAGAGCTGTTTCAGGTCAGCCATATTTTTTAGGAACACTGGTTTGAGCAGCTCTCTTCAGGTCATTCCACAGCATCTCTACTGGTTGAAGGTCCGACCGGGCCACTCCAACAGGTGGATGTTCTGTTTGAAGTCATTCTGTGGAAGGGTTACTTTGATGTTTAGTGTCATTGTCCTGCTGTAGCTTTTACTTCCCAGTTTCTTACTGAGGTTCTTTGTTTACATTATTTAGTATTCTGCTCGTGCTTTTGGAGTCATCTTAGCTGGCGCCTACCTCCAGGGAGAGTAAGCCACAGAACCAAATCATCTATTGACAGCTTTGACTGCGGACTGATGAATATTTTACACTGTTTGAGATGACTGTAACCTTTTAAGCTTTATACATGCCTCTTGTGAATAGCAACTCAATATGTTTAAATGTTTTTTGTAAGTCAAAATAGCTTCCAATCCACACCATAGCTTGTTTCATTAATTCGACTCCAGATTTTTATAACTCCTGACTCCAGTTAGCGGGACTTTTTCAGCCCGTGAATGTTTGATTTTTTTGAATATGGACAAGAACAGTACAATGATTTGTGTGTTATTATTTAAAATAGCTTGTGTTTGTTCGGAATTGTAACCTGGATGAAGATCTGACCATATTTTAGGAACAGATTTTAACATAAATTATTCCAAAGTTTTCACTTACTTTTTGCCATACCTCTGATCTCTGTGAAAGCTTTTCTGACCTAACATAATATTTCTTCTGCTAAGTAAGGCTAAAGTGTATAAAAATGAGAAGAGAGACACTGTTTAATGTACTCCCTCTGGCGGCTGGGTTCTTAAACCAGAGTAAGAAGAAAATGGCTTCATTGATATTTAAAGCCACTGAGGCCTTTGTCCACTTAGGTGGAGTCTGTGACAGACAGTTATAGGGAGGAAGTGCAGTTATGACAGGGTTAAATATTTAATTGGAGTTCAGGGCAGCTCGGCACTGGAAGTCTGTTGGCTAATTTGTCTTGAGGACTACAGTGTGATGCCATGCCCTCTCCACTCTCTGTCCCTTGCTCACCGACACTCTAACTCATCTCTCTCTCGTCTTCCACCACCCACCATTCAATTTTCCTCTTTACATTCCCTTCACTCTTGTCGTCTTTCTGTCATTTTCCAGCCATTAAATTTTGCCAGTCGCTGTTTTTGTTCCTCTGTACTTCTTCTTTTTTTCTGGTGAAATGATGATTGACTTTCTTACCAGTGTGCTCCATTTAAACTCAAGCAGATAATCCAGAGCTAATGTGTCTGTTCAGACCAGAGTCGGTGCAGTGGAAAAGTATGAAACTGAGTAATTGTTATGTCTCAGACATGGGGCGGCTATAGGACTCGATATCAATATCATGATTATTCTTAACTCTTACCTTGATAATGATTAATGAACGATCAACTTTGGGTCTGATGAGTGATTAAACAAATTAATGGTGTTAGATATGGGCGCTGTTGCATTCACCATTGTCTGGTGGTCAGGAGTGATACGACCCAATCAGGAGAGGAGGCAGGTATCTGTGTAATTTCTTCTAAAAGTCTCTGTTTCTATCCATCAGACTACAATGCAACTTAGAGTTTTCAGACAAAAAGCCAGCTGTAAATGTAGTGAAAGTGATGTTTTTTAAAAAAAAAAAAAAAAAAAAAAAAAAAAAAAAGAATTGTATGAGACTCAGTGTTTGCGCTCGTGTCATCCATATTGCTAGCTTTGCTTTAGTAAAAAACAGACTAATTTTAGTTAGACAGGAAAGAGGCACATGACTGCACACGAGGTCGTATTTTATTTTATTTTTTTAAAGGGGGCAGTTCATGAATGCATGCAGTGAGGAAAGAATGAACCAAAAGTCTGTGAGAGTCGGGTTTGATAGGTTTACCAGGGAATAAACCAGCTCTACTCAGATTGTTTATGTAGAGAAGTTTTACTGCATGTACTGTATATGACTAAATGAAGTTATAAAACCCTCTGTCAGTTAGGTCATCTCTTGCAAAAATGAAGCGCTCAATATAGGAATGAACTGCTGGCAAAATCCCTCTTTGCCCCATAAGGCATTGTGGGTTTTTTGAGTCTTAATATTATGGCACTAGCACCTTAATTGTAGTCAACTGGAACATTTTCTGCAAATAGAAAACTCTGTCTTCCACATTTAATTGCACAATTCATGAACGTAAACATTTCCATTTGTCTAAAACTGCGGTTTCACAATGAGATTTTTAATCACAGCTTAAACGCTTACACTTACCACAACACTTTGAGTCTTGTAATTTTTGTGTTGGTGCCATGTGTAGGTGGGCAAGTATTACCAGAGACCTCAGAGCTAATTGTCCATTTTTACACAGAGTAGAGACCATTATGAAAACATTCAAATGAAGTTTAGAATTAAAGTGACAGGAATTATTCTTTAATATGGCTAATTTTTGCACCAGATAAGAAATCCTATTTTATATATATATATATATATATTATAATATATAAATAATACTCACTGAGCATTTTTTAAATAAAATTAAACCTGTGAATTGAGCTATGTATGAAGGTTTTTTTTCTTTTGCTCCTTCTTGGAAGCATCCTGAGGGTGACTCTGCAGCCGGAAGTGAAAACACTATATGAACATATTTGAGTTTCAACACTCGGTTGTGAGTATTATTATATATATATATATATATATATATATATAAAATAGGGATTTCTTATCTGGTGCAAAAATTAGCCATATTAAAGAATAATTCCTGTCACTTTAATTCTAAACTTCATTTGAATGTTTTCATAATGGTCTCTACTCTGTGTAAAAATGGACAATTAGCTCTGAGGTCTCTGGTAATACTGCCCACCTACACATGGCACCAACACAAAAATTACAAGACTCAAAGTGTTGTGGTAAGTGTTAAGCGTTTAAGCTGTGATTAAAAATCTCATTGTGAACCGCAGTTTAGACAAATGGAAATGTTATACGTTCATGAATTGTGCAATTAAATGTGGAAGACAGAGTTTTCTATTTGCAGNAGAAAAGATGGGTTATGGCACTAAAAGTAAGGGGGATTATGGCCTGGCAAGATTAATCTGTAAGCGGTGGGGTGGGAAAAAATGTTTTACTGAAATAAAATGAAGCCCTGCAAGAGGACGACAGCAGGTGAACCGAGTGTTGAAACTCAATATGTTCAATAGTGTTTTCACTTCCGACTGCAGAGTCACCCTCAGGATGCTTCCAAGAAGGAGCAAAAGAAAAAAAACCTTCATACATAGCTCAATTCACAGGTTTAATTTTATTTAAAAAATGCTCAGTGAGTATTATTATATATATATATATATATATATATATAAAATAGGGATTTCTTATCTGGTGCAAAAATTAGCCATATTAAAGAATAATTCCTGTCACTTTAATTCTAAACTTCATTTGAATGTTTTCATAATGGTCTCTACTCTGTGTAAAAATGGACAATTAGCTCTGAGGTCTCTGGTAATACTGCCCACCTACACATGGCACCAACACAAAAATTACAAGACTCAAAGTGTTGTGGTAAGTGTTAAGCGTTTAAGCTGTGATTAAAAATCTCATTGTGAACCGCAGTTTAGACAAATGGAAATGTTATACGTTCATGAATTGTGCAATTAAATGTGGAAGACAGAGTTTTCTATTTGCAGAAAATGTTCCAGTTGACTACAATTAAGGTGCTAGTGCCATAATCATAAAGACTCAAAAACCCACAATGCCTTATGGGGCAAAGAGGGAATTTTGCCACAGTTCATTCCTATATTGAGCGCTTCATTTTGCAAGAGATGACCTACTGACAGAGGGTTTTATAACTCATTTAGTCATATACAATACATGCAGTAAAACTTCTCTACATAAACAATCTGAGTAGAGCTGGTTTATTCCCTGGTAAACCTATCAAACCCGACATCTCACAGACTTTTGGTTCATACTTTCCTCACTGCATGCATTCATGAACTGCCCCCTTTAAAAAAATAAAATAAAATACGACCTCGTGTGCAGTCATGTGCCTCTTTCCTGTCTAACTAAAATTAGTCTGTTTACTAAAAGCAAAGCTAGCAATATGGATGACACGAGCGCAAACACTGAGTCTCATACATTTCTTTTTTTTTTTTTTTTTTTTTTTTTTTTTTTTTTTTAAAAACATCACTTTCACTACATTTACAGCTGGCTTTTTTGTCTGAAAACTCTAAGGTTGCATTGTAGTCTGGATGGATAGAAACAGAGACTTTTAGAAGAAATTACACAGATACCTGCCTCCTCTCCTGATTGGGTCGTATCACTCCTGACCACCAGACAATGGTGAATGCAACAGCGCCCATATCTAACACCAATAATTTGTTTAATCACTCAGACCCAAAGTGATCGTTCATTAATCATTATCAAGGTAAGAGTTAAGAATAATCATGATATTGATATCGAGTCCTATAGCCCGGCCCCATGTCTGAGACATAAAAATTACTCAGTTCATGTCTGATACTTTTCCACTGCACCGACTCTGGTCTGAACAGACACATTAGCTCTGGATTATCTGCTTGAGTTTAAATGGAGCACACTGGTAAGAAAGTCAATCATCATTTCACCAGAAAAAAAAGAAGAAGAACAGAGGAACAAAAACAGACTGGCAAAATTTAATGGCTGGGGAAAATGACAGAAAGACGACAAGAGTGAAGGGAAGTGTAAAGAGGAAAATGAATGATGGGAGGTGGAAGACGAGAGAGAGATGAGTTAGAGTGTCGGTGAGCAAGGGACAGAGAGTGGGAGAGGGCATGCATCACACTGTAGTCCTCAAGACAAATTAGCCAACAGACTTCCAGTGCCGAGCTGCCCTGAACTCCAATTAAATATTTAACCCTGTCATAACTGCACTTCCTCCCTATAACTGTCTGTCACAGACTCACACCTAAGTGGACAAAGGCCTCAGTGGCTTTAAATATCAATGAAGCCATTTTCTTCTTACTCTGGTTTAAGAACCCAGCCGCCAGAGGGAGTACATTAACAGTGTCTCTCTTCTCATTTTTATACACTTTAGCTTACTTAGGCAGAAATATTATGTAGGTCAGAAAAGCTTTCACAGAGATCAGAGGTATGGCAAAAGTAAGTGAAAACTTTGGAATGATTTATGTTAAAATCTGTCCTAAAATATGGTCAGATCTTCATCCAGGTTACAATTCCGAACAAACACAAGCTATTTTAAATAATAACACACAAATCATTGTACTGTTCTTGTCCATATTCAAAAACATCAAACATTCACGGGCTGGAAAAAGTCCCGCTAACTGGAGTCAGGAGTTAATAAAATCTGGAGTCGAATTAATGAAACAAGCTATGGTGTGGATTGGAGCTATTTTGACTTACAAAAAACATTTAAACATTTTGAGTTTGCTATTCACAAGAGGCATGTATAAAGCTTAAAAGGTTACAGTCATCTCAAACAGTGTAAATATTCATCAGTCCGCAGTCAAGCTGTCAATAGATGATTTGGTTCTGTGGCTACTCTCCCTGGAGGTAGGCGCCCAGCTAAGATGACTCCAAAAGCACGAGGCAGAATACTAAATAATGTAACAAAGAACCTCAGTAGAAACTGGGAAGTAAAAGCTACAGCAGGACAATGACACTAAACATCAAAGTAACCCTTCCACAGAATGACTTCAAACAGAACATCCACCTGTTGGAGTGGCCCGGTCAGACCTTCAACCAGTAGAGATGCTGTGGAATGACCTGAAGAGAGCTGCTCAAACCAGTGTTCCTAAAAATATGGCTGACCTGAAACAGCTCTTTAAAAAGGAAGAATGGTCGAAACTTCCGCCTGAACATTGAGCAGGTCTGATCAGCAGCTACAGAAAGAGCTCGTTTGAGGTTATTGGTGCTAAAAAGGAGGTTTAACCGGTTGTTAAATCCAAGGTTCACTTAATTTTTCCATTGGGACTGTGAATGTTCAATGGGTGTGTTCAATAAAGACACAAAATATTATAATTGCTTGTGTGACATTAGCTAAGGACAGTGTTTGTCGACGTATGTGTCTTTAAGATCAGATCATATCTTATGACCAATCAATGCAGGAAACCAGGTCATTCCAAAGGGTTCACTTACTCTTTCTAGACACTGTACATTATAGAAATGCAGTGAAATAAAGTAGAAAAATGCCAAATTTATTCCATAACACAAATTATGCCAGCCTTTTAACCTGCAAGACGTGCACGTATAAAAAAAAAAATAAAAAAAATGAACGGCAATGGAAATGTGATGGACAATGGGGAAAGTCAGTGCAACTTCCCAACTGCCCCGTTTCCATTATTACGAGGCTACTGCAAGCCGATTTAGTGCGAGAGTCTGTCAGTGCGAGTGTGTGTTGAGGATCTTACCTTGCACCTCCTTCGATGGCGGCAAACTGAGGCCGAGGCTGGAGCTGTGCATGCTGGAGTCGTCCTGAGAGTGGACCAGAGCGCCTCCATCCTGCAGCGAGCGCACAAGCTCCCTGAGATGCGTCACTTCCTCCCGGAGAGATTCCACTTCCTGCTGGCGCTGTTGCTTGGCAACAGAAGTGGGGTTCATTTTGAGGTGAAGAACTCTGGTTTTGACTGGATCATAGTCTCCCTGTGACAAAAAAAAAAAAAAAAAAAAAAAAAAAAAAAAAAAGGCAAAGACAAAGATCAGACATCCAAAAATCATCCAACTTCTAAAATAAGGAGGAGTATTTGCTCGTACACAGCGGGGTCTAAAAGTCTGAGTCTTCCACCAAAAACTCTTTGTAATCAAATGCCAAAAATTAATCTCTCTGTGAGGCAAATTCCAATTTCCAATGATACAAAGCAGAGAAAAGCGGTGGAGATACTGGTAGCAGAGAACAGTTTAACTTTTGGCTTGGACATATGATAAAAACAGTTGCAGATTAATTTTCTGTTGTTCAACTTATTGATCAATCAGTTTTATCAGCTGTAAATGACAACACAAGATGCATCTTCAGTCATATTAGATACAGTGAGTAACCTTTTGAGAGATACTGTCAAAGGCTTCTGTGATCCAGGCTCATTGAACAACTAATCAGAGAAGGGCAAAGTCAAGGGTGGGAGCTCAAAGCTGTCAATCAGTACTTGACCTCACTTCAAGCTAGTATTAGCTGCTGGAAGAGTCTGTGAGTCAGACGTGAATAGCGCTGACTCACAGGCTAGCAGGCTCCCGCTTCCTGCATTAGCTGAGACAGCAACACCATGACGGTGTAAGTAAAGGGCTGGGTGGAGCAGGGAGAAGGAGGGGTGGGAGGGCCGGAGAGGTTACCTTTCGAGTCTTATGCTAGCACAAGCTTGATTACCAATAACCTTCATATTGTAGCTCTGGGATGTCCACTTTATACAGCAGTCAGATCATGTAGCCAATTTAAGTCAGGATGAAAAATAACACAGGGCTGTAAAATATTGGTATCCAGGAGAGTCCGTCTCTCTCTGTCCTTCCCCACGGACTTTCTTTCTCCTATTGACGAACAGCATTTCAAGTTTTCACACATCATAAATCGCACTCCTCAAGAACATGTGTACAAGGCTACAACACACGAAGCATGGGACACGTCTGAACAAGAAGTGAAACCATACACTTCTGTGAAGAGTGTGGTTAAAAAAAAAAAATAAAAAAAAAAACAGACATGGAAGAAAAGCTTGAAGAGACTTTCTTAATCACAAAGCCAGGAAGAGTTTTATAGGAACGGGAACCATTAGTGTGTGTGTGTGTGTGTGGCGGCTGTGATTCAGAGGAAGAAACGGGGAGGAGATAAGAGGTGAAGTACAAGCATCAAAGTGCTTTCTGAGAAATGAGTCCTTGCTTTCAATCACAACTCGAGAAAACTTGTACATTTTAAATATTACACACTTTGTCACCATTTATCATTTAACAGAGCATTCCTTTTTTCCATTATGTCTATTTAAGAGCTGCTGAAGAGTTTGGGTGTAATACAGATCCATGTGTCCATCTCTGTGCTCAGCACATTATTAGATTTTACATGGTGAAACACAGGATTCTTTGGTGTAAAAGTTGTACAGTATTATTTTTAGTGACTGTATGCTGTACTTCAGGTTACTTTACTGCAACAACGTTGTCGTTTATTGGTATGTAGACATAACTGGTGAAGGCAGTTGGGAAAAAAGTGCACACAGGTTGTAATCCGATTCATTTCAGCAGGGAAACATGCAACAATGGTCCAGTAATTACTCGTACTGAATTAGAATGCAAATTCAGAGCATTTGGCACATTCATGTTCAGAAATATACAGTGCATACACACATGCATGCTATTTCTGGGGAGTAGATGCATGGCACAAGTAAGGCTTTAGTCCATGTGTAGTGCAAATGTCCGAGCACAAGCGAAAGACAGTGTTAATAAAAGATTATTTCCATCCAGTACCGTTACGTGAATATTAGGAGTTAAGCTCATCAAAGATAAACAGCTGGTGGTGCTAATAATCCAATCACGTTCCATTAAACCGTTGCAGATGAAGGCAAAATGAGATTATGTAATTATTGAACGTCACATGCTTCATGTACATCATGGTTTACAAGTCAAGTCTGTTTTCATTCTGTCATTATCGATACACCAACTTTTGCACATGAGCCAAGCGTACAAACTTTTTTGCGATATCCAACGTCAAACTTCCACTTTTTTGAAAATGTGCATATAAACAGGTGAATGGAAAAGCACTAACAGATTAATGAAAACATCTAGACTCTCACAGGATAATGCAACAATTTAATCAATCACCTTGTAACTAACATTCATATTTAATCTGAGCTATAAATGGTGATGACAGGGCATTGATGACGCAGGTCTGCAGCTAAACGCTTGATATTCAAACAAATAGCTTTATTTTCAACCTTCTATATCTACAGATATTTATTTTCTGTGTAACCTCTGCCAAAATCTTCTCTACAGAGGCTACGGGATAATACAGTGAAGTTATGAGCAACAGACTGCCTACCTATTTATTTCCCAGTGTGCTCTTTTTCCACTGATACACTGTGCGCAGCACATAGATCTGTTTACATTAAAGAACAAGAAAAGGCTTTGTTCACTGATCTGTTATAAGTGGCAATTCTCTTAGCGAAGTAACATAAATAATTTCACTTTAAAGTATGTATTCATTAGCTGTTGTCTTTAAACCTTGGAAATGTGATGTCAAGTTTACCAAATCTGATATATAACTCCATAACAAATGCAAGAAATAAAATAGTTTTACTAAATATTTCATAAACTCTTTAAGTCCATAGCAAGAACACTGGCAACAGAAGAGTTTTAATAAATGTTTCATTATATTGATGGCGTTATGATAGTACAACAAGATTTACCAGCAGCAGTTTATCTATCAAACAGACTCACAAAAAAATTACATAACATATAATAAGTAGTAAATAAAGATGGATGTCAGCAACAAGAGGAAACTCTGAATTAGAGGCTAATACTAAAGCAAAAATGGTAACGTCGTTTCCTGGAAACATAAGTTCCTTCTTTTCTTCCTTTGTTTTCTTCTGACTCTGTGAGGTTTCGGTAAATGAGAAGAGTCTCTTAGCTTAATGCCAATACAGGAAGACACAAACAAACAGGAACACCAAGATGCAGAAACACACACAAAAGGCGCACACACACCAATCGGAGCTCTTGATTACTGGCTAAATTAGATTCCATATGCCCCCAAGCAACGGTTGCCAAATAAACTACAGGCATGGGGGAGAGCAAGAGGCAGACGAGGAGAAAGGGGATATGAAGATGGGAAATGGTGAAGGACATAGAAAAGAACACAGTGAAAACAAAGGGTGGATGGGCGATCATTGCCTTCAGCGTGAGGAAAAAGCAACATGGATGGAGGGGAGAAAGAAAAAAAAAAAAAAAAAAAAAAAAAAAAAAACCTCACACGCTTATAAATAACGCTTTGTATAATTTAAGAGGAACAGAGGGATTGAGCTTCCCAAAATGAGGAGTAGAGCATGTGTATATTTATATCAAACCATTTCAACTGGACTGCACACACGTCACAGCCAAATAAAGGTCCTGGTATATTTTCTTCCTGCGTACATCTTTTGAAGTTCTACATCAGTGTATGGAGAGTTTATTCAAGGATGCATCTGTATGTGTGTTGCGATAAACACAGCGAGAGAAAATGGGAGGGAGAGCCAGATAGTGTGAGACAGATATGTAGATTAGAGCTGTAAACCCAGTGCAAAAAAAAAAAAAGAAGAGAGGAAGGTCCTCAAAATGCAGCCAACAGCTACATTCTGTCAAACAGTGAAAACTCTTTCAAACACACTTCCTTAAAATTAGGTCAAGCTAACGAAAATTAGAATGATTTGGCCGTGGAATTCATATTTCACTTTATGGATGCCTGGACTGAGCCAAGGGGCAAAGGTTTAATTGACTGCTCAATGATAAAAAAACAAAGGAAATTTATTTCTCTTTGGCATTAAAGAGCATCATAACAAGCCAAGAAGTAGCATCATATTTTTTTTAATTGGTTGAACCCTCCTCACAAATTGAACTGAAATGAGAATATAGACAAAAGGCCATCTTCTCCATTATTGATGGGTACTGGAACCTCGTATGAAATGGGCCCCGGTGTTATCAAAGATTAAAGGCCGCAGTATCGATAAGCTCCAACGTTATCGGTTCTTCTCTTGGTACTGGAGAAATTAAGAAAATAGATTTCCAATTTATTACTGCAACACAGAATTTATCTTGCACGTTTTATCTCGAGTCTGTGATGTATTTACACTACTCCCAATCCAGAAGAGAGCTCTCTCTCTCCTGGAGACTGGGTGTACGAGGGGAGGGGGGCAGCAATGCCAACAATGCCAGAGAGAGCTAAACGTTCAAATGTGCGGTTACGCTCATTGCCACAAGTGTCTTGCATGTACTGTCAGAAACACGAGCAATCTGTTCAAACATCTACCGAAAGTCCATCACATACAAACTCAGAAATGTACAGTTTACGACCTGCTAGCTCATAGTTCATCTGTCGTTGCCCCTGGTGTGTTATGTATGCTAGCAGCCTGGAGAACACACATGGACTTAACTAAATCTTACAAACATGTGTTAATGATAAAAATGAACCATTAGTGATTTGTTCAAAACAATGCTGATGCAGTTTGCTACTCAAAGATGTTAATCTATACATACAACATAAACAGAAAATAAAGCAATGTTAAGTCTATTATTTCTTTCTTTTTGAAAAGCAGTAAGGGTAAGAGTTGTAGTACTATTAAAATCTTAAAAACAATCCCTACCCCCCATCTATTTTACCTTATATGCAGAAAACAACGGCACAACAGACGAAAACTAAGTATGATCCACTGAAAAACAAAACATGAAATCTGAAGATTCTCCCCAACAGGGACGATCACCTATAAAATGTGGAGAGGTATAATTAGCTTACAATGCATATGTACGTCTGCATTTGCGAAGAGAAAGTGGTGCACTATGTGGTTATAAATTATACTTTAGTTCACTGCTGCAAAAACAGAGAAATGCCAAATTGCCTGAGTTTCAAAGTGGATGTAAGCAAACTACTTAATGTTACAGTGTTTTAGTTGGCCTATTTTGTGTGTGTATATATGTGTGTG